GAACAGAAAGGACTTCATTACTAAAAGTACTTAGATTATACCCCATAGACATATTTACCAACCGAAATGTAGCAATAGCTAAAATATAACCTCGAGGGAGACTGAGTGCCCAAATGGACAAGAGTAAAGCTGTTACTAACAATGAAATGAGTAGAAGTTTGAAGACACTGCATTTCTACACGGAATGCTCGAGCTAAAACTCTTCAAAATACAGGTCTTAGCCCTGAAGCTTGGAATACAGGTTCGGTGATTGCACCCAAGAAAAAAATAGTTGAAGGAATTCGAACCCCCGCACATTTGCCTCCCAAAGTGTCCTTGAGATGTGAAGAAGCGTTGGCACAAATGAAGTGCTTTTCCATCTAACACCAGCATGCAAATAGCCAAGAATACGAGGCACAAGCACGCCCAGAACATTTGGAAATATGAAATGTCAACCCCTCCTGTTCACATAAAAAACGTGGGTTGACATTTTAAGGATGTGCAGCACGAAAAGAAAGACCACATGCCTTGCAATGCCATTTGTATAAATAGTGACAGTCATGATCTCCTATGTTTCGTGCTACGTGACGCTTTCCTAGCTCCTGCATAAAATCGAATGCAATCATTTGTTTGAGCGTTACAATCGACTGCTCGTCATGCTGATTGGAAGTAAATGATTGACGGTGCAAACGATGGCAGATGGTCCCCTCATTGTTTCCATATGAAAATGGCTGCGGAGTTTTTATCTAGCTGCATTTGAATGGAGGCTGTGAAGATTAAAAATCTTACCCAAACTCAAAATTGACAAACAAATTTGTGAAATATGGTCTACCACCCTTCACAAATATCATTCTTAAAGATGGTGCAATATGACTAAGGCTTAACATCTCCGAGTTTCCAATCGCTGCAGAGTAAATTTTTACTTACCAACGGGATTGGTAGCCGTGATGGGTGTTTGTGACTCCAATGGCTCACTAGCACCATTCTCATTGACAGCTTTGACTCGGAAGTTGTAGCGTTTGCCCTCATCCAGGTTAGGCACATCGAACTCGGTCCCACGCACATAACTGCTCACTGGTGTCCACTCTCCCGTCTGCAGATCCTGCTTCTCCACAACATAGTTGGTGACTGGTGAGCCTCCGTTGTCCTGCAATTCAGTCCAATTCATTTGGTAAG